TGAATTATTTTTTTAAATAGCTGTCAAGTGTCAAAGTGCGCTGAATGCTCTAACTCGATCCCATAGTCCAAGAGCCCACTGCAAATTTCGACCGTCATCTGATAACGAAATGAAATATGCTTCAGAGGCATGTAAAAATATTGTATTTTACCAAACGGCACCTGTGCCTATCACTATCCTGAGCAAAATAGTTAAAACAATGGCACTTCCAGTGTCATAATTAGCGAGAAATGTCGTCATTTGATAACGAGATAAGACTTATGCCATCGGATAGCTATTGATTAATAGAACTTAAAAATGTACCTGTGCCACCTCTTTTCCTGAGCCAAATGCTTGGCACGGCCTATTTATTCAGCCAAAATTTTCGACAAACTTCCGTCATGTGATAACGAGTTAAAACAATATGCATTCCAAGGGGCACAATGTCCCATTCAGGAATATCCGCATGTGCCACGTTTTAATCTAAGCTAAGTTGCTGGCACAGCGTAATTTCTGAGACGCCTCTCCCAACTAATTTATTTCATATATACAAAAAATCACATAAGCCATGACAACGAAAATTTTTCGTATTGAAAATTACAATCCTAATAATTAATTGTAAACTTATTACTGAAGCTTTGGTTTGTATCATAATTTTAAAGGCTTTTTAACAGACTTAAAATAATAGGAGATACTCATATCGTTAGAATTTTTTATTTTTTTGTATGTTCACTGATAAATCTATACCACGTTGTCCGATTTCTATGAATATTTTTTTGTTAGAAAAGGGGACACCGGGTTAGTCATATATAAATTTGGTGAACATCTGATGATAGGATACACGAAAAAATAATTAAATTCTTCGAATAACAAAGAAGGATTTTTATTATTTTCAGGTATTTATTTAGATATATTTTACTACTTTTTATATTTATAAAGTGTAACTACAAATTGAATACGACGATGATATAGTTATATTCGGAAGTGTCCCAGAAAATATATTAAAGGTATACTTAATAAGGATTGTTGAATTATTTATTTTTAAGTACATACATGAAAAAATTAAATTAAATAAATATGTATGCACAAACAATTTATCAATACTAAAATACATTATTATTAAAAAAAATTCCGTTCGCGACAAAAAAAATTACATCTAATCCTTTCCAACAATTTTAACATTTACTCATCATCTGAATCTAAAAAACATCAATCAAATAATTTAACTCATTCAACTCGTCGTTATCGACAATATTTTCAATATATTTTAAGACACCATTGACTTTCAATGGCGTTGGGTCTCCCTTGAACCACACTGGTTCCAAACGTTTATTTAGCTCTCAATCGTATTCTTCAACATTTAATTTAGAACAATTTGCAACTGCAGTGTTTTGTCACCTTGAATTGACGTACACTGTACGCAAGATCTTTTGTTCCATAGTTCTCCAACATGGAGAAATAAGACTTGAATCCAACCCTTTGTTTGCATAAAATGCTCGTTTTTACCATTTTTTGGAGAAAACAGTTTTTCAAACAGTTGCAGCTAAAGAAAATGGCTAGAGACAGATATCATGCAACGAAATTGTGTTGATAAGTTAATTACAAAAAAAAAACAACAAAAAACAAAGAGACCAAGTGGCGAAATGAAAAACAAAAGCAGAGAGAACACTTAAAACGCCTTCAAGTAATACAACATTACTCCACCGAACTCTCTAGTGACTGCAGAGAACTCCAAATATTAATATTGTAAGAGGCAGAAAACGATCAAAACTTTATATAGATAATATGAGACTGCAATTAGAAAATAAAAGGCTGATTAGAGAAATTAATAAGTACAAGATGCGGGCATATCGAGCCCAAAAAGATATGACCGGCAAAGTCATTTCGTCAATTACCAATGCTTCTCCATTATCAAAATTAGAGCTGACAATTCATAATGCATACCGGGAATTAATAGTCCAGGTGTAGATAAAGTTAAAAAGCAATTATTTTAAGTACAATGTGTTAACTCATGCTCTATCGTCTGAATATGCCAAAATAACGAATAATTCTGAAAAATTAACTTTTAAAAAGCAAGAGGATGGGGAAGTTAAGATTATGTTTTTAAAAAACATAGCCGATAGTGGTACGAAATTCATATTGGATCAAGATGATTTATCTTACATTTTAAACGAACAAATCTTGGAAATTATTGAAAAACTTACAATAAAATTAAAAGCGATCAAATTTATTATGAGTTTAAAAGACCCATCGATGTTTTTGAAATCTAGTTCAACTATTTTAATGTTATCTAGATAGATCTCTGTTATCTTCTAGATATTATTTACTTTTTAGTTTGTTCCTATTTTTTTACGATTTTTTATTTATATTAAAGTTTTTTAAGTTGAATTACCGTTTTTGACGAGTTTCATAAAAGCAGGATTTATTTTTGTACGCATTGACAAATATTTCAACTCATTTAAAAATCAAAAAGTGCGTTGCTAATATTAGGTTCCTTGATTTAAATATATTAGGATTATATTTTAATAATCAAAACATTCATAATATAAAATAATAAAAATGGGTATCGATTTTACCTAAAGAGGTGGTTTTCTGAAAATATACTTACATCCATTTTGAACATTTTATCGAATTCATCCTTGTACTTCTTTTTCAAAACCATGAACTTGGCTTTGCACTCTGGGTGATAACCGCAACATTTTCCGCTATTTCACGGGATAACTTTACATCTTTGTATTTGAATTTTTTGATTTGACGAAAATATAACATATTTAAACATTTTTCGGGTACATCGTTAAAGGGAAACACTTTTTTCCCTTTTACATCGCATAAAAAATATCTATCCATGAATAATAAGAACTATTAACAAAATGACTCAATTAATTTTTGATAATTTCAAGATTTATTTGTTTACTTAATATTGTGATTCAATTTTACAGGTTGTCATAGAAACGTCAAAAAAACTGCCTACTATAGGTTTGTTCCAACTTGGTGTTTGGTACCGTTCTTGTATCATACCAACATCGGTTTATGAACGATGTACTGCGCAAGCCCATCTCTGAATGGTTTTGGAATCGAAAATGAGTTGGAACGCTTTTAAAACTGCCGATGGTTCATAAATAATAGATAAAATAGAAGAGGAAGAAAATTCCAACCAAACTTTTCGAAAAGAAAATAAAAATAAACTAGTTTTCTATTTTATAATTATGGATGTTATTGATTTTTTATTGTATCGTTCTATATTCTATTCTAAATAATTTTGTTTATTATCCTTTCTCAATTTACCATTAATTCTAAATCATCGTCACTAGCATCATCATCAAAAAAATCACTGTCTCCTTCTATATCACTCATTTATTTTCCAAATATGATTTATAAACAGTATTTTCTAAATAAAAATGTATATTTTGTTATTATTTACCTATCAAAACATAAAAACGTTGTAAATTTGTAGGTTAAGTTAACTAAAACTAACCTCTATCGGCTCTATCAACATATATCTATCGCTTTGCGCAAGTCAGTTCTAACAGTTCCACAAAAATTTGTGAATCGATATGACGGTACAGAAACGATTCCGGAATCATCCATTTTTTAGTTGGAACGAATTCTGTATCAACCCGCACATCGTACAAATTAAGTTGGAACGCTTGGAGTGTAATATGGTTATGTATCAAGTTGGAACAAACCTCTTGATTATAGTTTAAAAGATAAAATTTTATATTTCAGGTATAAAAATTAATGCTGTACCTATTTAATTTTATTTTACAATAGTTTACTTGTTTAGACGGATAAAAATAGTAATCAAATTTACCTAAATAAATACCTATTGAGTTATTTTGGTAAATAATAAACCTGTATATTGATAATAAATAACAAGTTATAAAAGTTATTTTAAAAACAAACTCCTAAATCGTACAGTTGCCTTTGCAAATTAAAGAGTTTGATAATTTTCTCGTGTATCCCATCATCAGACCTTGACCAAATTTATATGTGACCACCACTGAGGTACCCTCTTTCTAACAAAAAGAATCATGGAAATTAAACAACGTGGTATAGAATTATCGCTAAACGTTCATAAAAAAATTACATTCCGACGATTTGAGAACCTTCTTCTTATTTTTAAGTCTGTAAAAAGTATATAAAATTGGAATACAAATCGAGAATTCACTAATAGGTTCAAAATTAATTATGAGGATTGTAATTTTCAATACAAATAATTTTCGTTGTCATGGCTTATGTGATTTTTTGTTTATATGAAATAAATTAGTTAGGAGAGGCGCGTCTCAGAAATTACGCTGTGCCAGCAACTTAGCTCAAGTTAAAACGTGGCACATGCGGATATTCCTGAATGGGACATTATGCCCCTTCGAATACATGTTTTAACTCGTTATCACATGACGTAAGTTTGTCGAGAATTTTGGCTGAATAGGCCGTGTCAAGCATTTGGTTCAGGAAAAGAGGTGGCACAGGTACATTTTTAAGTTCTATTAATCAATAGCTATCCGATGGGATAGGTCTTATCTCGTTATCAAATTACGACATTTCTCGCTAATTATGACACCGGAAGTGCCATTGTTTAAACTATTTTGCTCAGGATAGTGATAGGCACAGGTGCCGTTTGGTAAAGTACAATATTTTTACATGCCTCTGAAGCATATTTCATTTCGTTATCAGATGACGGTCGAAATTTGCAGTGGGCTCTCCTACTACCAGTTGTGTGTATATCATGTGCATATTCGAATATTTTATGTGTGAAACTTTTCGCGAGCAGAACTACTCTATTGCAATATTGAATACGTGTATGCACTGCCAGGTGGCACAGCTATGTGTCTCCGTGCTAGTGGTGCGCCATTTGAAGACGCTATTAGTTGTCAAAATCAGTACGTATGAAATTTTCGTAGACAGCTAAACTTCGATAATTATATTATCAAAATGTCTGATATCAGCGATATAGAATACTTACCATCGACTCCTCCACACATATCGGAGAAAGCAGAAAATGAGTACAAAATATTTTGCCACAAAAATCTATGATAATACCAATACCCGAGGTAATACCATTAATTACAATTTTGTAGAATTTTTTATAAAAATACGAGTAATCACTGTTATTGTGTTCAATACAAATATAAATAAAATATTTATAATTCTTGATTATTTATTGGGTGTAGAAAAAATAGCGTATGCAACTCTCATGTAATGGTTATTACATGATCGTTGTATGTAACATACTGATATTAATACGCCATATTAATCAGACAAATAGCCTCTTTCAAATATAGATGTAAAAAAAGGAGTTATAATTTAAAAAAAAAACACCTTCTGTATTTTTTTCTAAATTGGTACTTTCACTATAAAATTTGAATTTATTTTTTTAGTATTATTGATATTTCAAAAATTACACTTATCCACACATTTGAGCCACCCTATATAATTTTGATTTCAACAACAGTTATTAATTATACCCATTTAAATGACATATATACATTTACATTCTCTCAACACTTATTAAAAATTTTATAGTTCCAATACAAATATAATTAAACAACAAAAATACAAAAAATATAAAATATTAAAAATATACATTAACTTTCCTTAATACCTAAAAATTATCACATACATTTATTTATATATATATATTTATACTTTTTGCTTGATTATCATCAACACTCATGATATACGTAAGGGTTAATTAATCAAAATTAATTCATTTTGATAAGTACTCGTTTTAAAAATTAAAAATTCGAACTAGATTCATTTTTTTAAAGATTCAAACAACGTACTCTCTAAAAATCACCGTGATTGCTATCAATAAAACAATCACAGATCCAGTAAATAATGAAATTATCTAGTTATGTGAAGTTAATCCCCGAAATTTCGAAAAATTTTAGTTTCAAAATTGATTTTTATCGACCAGCCAGTACCGTTTTTTGTACCACCTTTAGAAACGTCAATATTTAAGAATAAAAGCAGATTACCCGCTGGTTCGCATAGTTTATATTTTTCAAAACTGCATCTATTAGAGTTTTTTTTTGACATCTTAAAATAATTTCAAGAAGTCTAATCAACAAGTCCAAAAGCGTGTTTTTGGGAGATACTATTACGAAAATTATGTTGAATAGCTCATTCGATTCGATCAATGTGTGAAGAAAAATTTTGCAGTGAATAAAAAATTGCAAAAGTTATAATAATCGAATTAAATTACGGGTTTTGAGCTTACATTAAATTGTAATTAGATGAAACAAAATGGATTCTATGTATTTTGAGGTGATCTTTTCGAAAAAAGGCATAACAAAATGTAGCAGTTTTTCGAAAGTGCCGAAATTTTGGATTTTGTCAATTTTTCAATTTTGCGCAGGCGCATGTCGGAAATAAATCAATATTTTTAAAACGCAGTTTACGACATTTGAAAGATTAGGAAAAATGATAATTTTTATGTCTCCTGAGAAATTTTGATCCGATGCACCGTTCTCGCGGTATGGACGATTTAAATTTGTTTAGTATTTTGAGGCGACAAAGGTCGAAAAATTGAATTTGTTAAATGTTCAAACACTAAATTCTTCATAACATTGGTAAAAATTAAGATATTTGAAAAAACAAAAATGCGTTTTGAACTTAAGGGATGTGACTAGTGATTCCCAGAAGGGAGCAAGAGAAATCCCAAAATTGGGCATATGGCGGAAGGGCAAAGTGTACCGCGGTCCTAATTTCATTGTTTGCCTACAACGGCCAAACTATTTGAATTTTTTTAATTCCACTTACAAAGCTTACTCTTAAATGTGAAATCTTATGTGTGTGTGTGTGTGTTAATTTCACCGACATCGGACCATAATTAGCTAAGATATCAAACAATTAAATAAATTTTTTTCCTTAAAAAAAAAACAATTTTTTTTTTCGAAAGTTTGAAGTGGCACAAAAATGACAAAAATGCACCCAATGGCTCAAAACTTTTTTTTTTGAGAACTCTATTGTGTCTAAAATACGATTAAAGTTCCTTGGTTTATTCGGTCAATAGTTTTTATTTTTTATAATTTAAGCATATAAATATTCGTTTTCGAAAATATGAGAAGTAGCGATCTTTTAATGTTCCACAATCCACTGTACGTGACAAAATAAAGATAAATATAAATACGAAAGGAAAACTGGGAAGGAAACCAGTTTTTAATGAAAAACAGGAAACCGCCATAGCCAACCATGTTATAAAATTGGCGAGTATGTGTTTTGAAATTACATCAGTAGAACTGCGGCGTTTAGCAAATAAAATAAAACATCGTTTCGACCAAGACAAAATGTCCAGTCAAGATTGGCTAGAACTATTTATAAGGTGTCACCTTAACATTAATCTTCGAAAACCATAATGTACCAACCAAAGCCGTATTTCAGCATTTAACCTTTTACGGAAAATTCTGCAAATATATTTTATCTATTTTTTTGACCGCTGTTCATTGAGTGACGACCAAAAAACACGGTTTTTGAGAAAAGTTGCCTAAAATTGACAATTTTTAGTTTTTTGGTCTGAAAATTAGGCAAACCCAAATTTCATGTCTTCTAAATGTGTATACAAAGTTTAAAGTGTGTATCTTTCTTCTAAGTTGTAGAATTCTCCCGACAAAAGTCCCATTACACGCGCTCCGCGGGATCCAAAACTCGTGTATACACTACATTACTGTAATTTGATTTTTTTGCGATTTCCAGTTTTAAATTTCTTACATATCTAAATTTATTAGGCTTAATATTTATTAAATTATATTTTACTGACTTGTTATAAGACGTTTCTTGAGTTTTGTGCAAAATATAGAATTACCGCCAAATTAGCCTCACGTCGCATCAAGGATAGTAATGGTCTCGGCGTTCGCTATCTGACAAGTTTAAACTTCAAACGGTCATATTTTTACAAATTGAATCGCTTGATAGTGTTCATCGGCATAGATTTTTAATAACCGCGTTCAGCAAGCTCTGTGTACACGTGGTTATTCAGACTTCTTCAGCAATTTATTGAGTAAGTACGTTCCTAAAATAAGAAAATTCTATCACAGTGCTATAATTTTTTGTTTCTAGGTTGCAATGGCTGGCCTGTGTTTATTATGTCATCAGACACTTGCAGAGGGTGAACTATTGCAGATTTGCAATGCGACCTATGACATTCGAAATATAACCGAAAACTACGCATTTTTTGTGCTTAGAAAATTGCTCGTAAAACGAGTGGTTTTTTCTTAAATCAACATTTTCCCTTTTTTTTTGAGAAAAAACAAGCACACTGTCGATTTTTTCCGTAATTTGGGCACTTTACAGACTGAAAATATATTAGAATCAGTAAGTTTAATGAGAAACAAGCTTACTTTCTCTCCCAATTGCCAGAAAATTCGAGTAGCTTCAATTCTCGCGAGAATTACCGATCTTTGCACAAGTGCGCTCAGAAAACAGTGGATGCTAGATAAAATGTATATGCCACAGTTTTTCGTGTCTTTTTTTTTCTCTATCATCTGACGGAAACAGTTTTCTATTCAGATAATTAGTTTTCGAGTTAATTAAGAAAAAAGTACGAGAAATTAAGGTAACTAGAAAATACGTATTTTTGTCATGCATATATATCTTCTCCCATTTCAAGTTTTCTTGTAAATAACTAAAAACCAGATATTAGAGAACAAAAAGCAAGCTTATCACCAAGTTGGAACTTACACTCAGGCTTAGGATTAATTTCCTAAAATTTTTAAAGTATACCTTTTTGTGTATTTTTTGTGCTCTTTTCGATGGCGAAGTTAGTTTTTTCAAATATATTTTTTTTTGTTAGATGTTTTCGGAAAACCCGGAAAAAATCATATGCGAAAAAAATTAAAAAGAAAAACTACGCCTTCCGGTTTCCTGCGAATTCCCGAAAAATTATGGCAGATTTCGCCGCGGGACTTATTTTATTTGAGAGCCAACAAAAAAATACGCAACTTCTCTCATGGGCACATATGTCTAACATTTATAATTTCGCCACAAATTCATCGCAAATTTCATGTCCATGGTTCTGATAAAAAAAAAACGAAAAAACGACTTTTTGGTAAAAGCACTTCTGGCGGCGAGAAATTCGCCATTAAAACTACCTGTACAATGAATTTCCGAACTATTTTTGCCTCCTCTTACGAATGGTGCATTTATTTTCACTATCGGAATGATACTTGCCCAGATAATTAGCATTTTTACAATGGAAAATTCCTGAAAACCCGGTTTTTCCAAATTTAAAAACTGCTACATCTTTTTTTTCTTTTTTTCGGAAATATCACATCAAAATACACAAGGTCCTTTTTGTTTCATCCAATTACAAATTAATGTAAGCTCGAAGGGGCTTTTTTCGTTATTTAATTGGACTATAAACAATTAAACACCTCAAAAACATGGTGTTTGGTTTTTCGCCTATAGTTTGTAAAACAGAAAAGTCAGAGTGGTGCTATAAAAATTTTTTTTTTCATATTGATCATTTTTTCAAAGTTGAAATTCATCCTAAAATTCTTGTTTTCCTATAACTTAATAATCTAAATTATTTTTAGAGGTGGTTAACGTTTATTTTTATATTAGCTTTGTCAGTTTTTATACTAACGATTGTAGACAAGAAAATATTTCGAAAACCACAACGCAGGGCCACGTAACTAACATCTCGTTCAAAATATTTCTCTCCAATTACTGTATAGGGAAAGTACAATTTTTGAACAAAACATGGGTACAAAAATTAGTCCTATTATAAAGTGAATTGTTCTAAGCACTTGTCAATCTTTTAATTTTGCGACTTACGAGGTCCTGCATTGCTTATACATAAAACGATCAGGACTGTTCGAATTTATAAATTGTAACATTATGATGATTAATTTCATTGCTTATTGGATCTGCGAAATTCTGACCTTATTCTAAAATATATAAATCATGAATTTCATTATTTAACACTGGTTTTGATTTTTGTCCTAGAACAAATTTGCATTGGGAAGTAACGTAAAATACAAAATGGATTTATTTATGTAAATTTTCTATTGATTAAACGATTTGATATTATTCGTAAATTCTAATAATATAGACCAGGGTCGGTAATTTTTGGAACCAAAAAAATAATAGTAGGATGAAACCCATTGGAAAAGGAAGAGAATATAACAAAAATGATGGGGGTGAGTTTTTAAGGGTAAAAAACGGTTTATCTCGATTTCCGCAAAAACTACAAGTCCTATGGAAAAAAGTGTTAGGTAATAAAAAGATTTACCAGTTTTCCATTTACACTTTTTTCACATAACCTCAAAATTTATGTGAAAAATTCAAATAACCAAGTTTTTGGTTTTTATTTTTATCTTTTACAAAAAAAAATCACCAAACATTTTGTACTAATTTGACGTCGACACTACCTAAAATATATATAATGTTCAATAATTCCGTCGAATGTAACCACTTGGTTGAGTTCTTCTGTGTACGACTCTGAATTATTTTTTGAAAATTATGTAGTATTTCGTTCTGACAGAAATTTTAATATTACCAATACTACTAAAGGGGGAGGTGTGTTAATTGCTAAAGAAAGAATACAATGCCTTAAGACTAGATCTTTCTGAACTGACTACTTCTACTCCTTCTATTGCCGTACTTGGTTTAACAATTTCAGTCTCGAATAGCAATCGGTATGTTATATTACTTTATATTCCTCCTTCTACTAGTAATGATATATACGATGTCTTTTATGATATTTTGTGTAATTATGAATGGTGCAACAATAATGAAGAACTGTTAATATTAGGGGATTTTAATATACCACATTATCATTCTAGTCGTAATGACATTACTTTGAAAAATGCTAGTATAGTTGCACTTGATAATTTTACCGAATTATTAGCTTTAAGACAATATAATAATACTCTTAATTTTAATAACCGTTTACTCGATTTAATCTTTAGTAGATCTGACATCGCTGTAAATCGTTCACTTAATCCATTAGTTGACGAAGATATTTTACATCCTTCATTAGAATTTCGGCTGTCTTTTTCTCAAATAAATACCAGTTTTGCTATGTCTAGTAAATTATCTTATAATTTCAAAAAGGCAAATCTTCCTCAACTCTACCAGAGTATCTGTAGAATTAATTGGAGTAGTTTGAATGCATGCGCAACTTCTGAGGAGACTTGTGATTTGTTTTATTCTATCTTAAATTCCGTAATTGCCGCTAATGTATCATAAGAAAAGGTAAAGCCACCCCTAACCTCCCAATAAAAGGTATGTCTAAGAAACAAAAGCTGACAAAAACCTCTACAAAAACCAACACTAAGACCAAAGAAAGTATACCACCCATAGTTATTGATGGAAGTACAGATAATCATAGCAACCTGACAAAAGACCTAAAAGAAATCGTTAAGGATAAGTACTCCATCAAGTGCACTAACTCAGCCACAGTAATATTTACTGAAAACAACGAAGATTACCAGGCCCTGTTAAACAATATCAAGGAAGCCGAGATTCCACATCATACTTATGTACACTAGTAAGGCCGATAAGACATATGCCTTTGTTTTAAGGGGGATGGCTAAAGGTACAAACATAAATGACATAGAGGACGATCTCAGAGACACATATGAGATAGAGGCTAAAGAAACTTTTCTAAGGACTACTAAATACGGACCACTATATTTAATCGTAACCGATCCCGCAATAACCCTTAACAAAAATGTCAGGGTTATTGAAAACACACGAGTCACGTGGGAGCTACGAAGGGCAGTGAAAGCAATCATAAAACGCCACAGATGCCAGGCGTGGGGGCACGCAACAACAAATTGCGGTCGCCCACTCAAATGCTCAAAATGTGCAGGTAACCACCTCACGAACACATGTGCAAAAACTAGAGAAACCCCCGCCACGTGTGCCAACTGCCGCGGAGAACACCCGGCTAATTACACTAAATGCGAGGCCTATCTAGAAAGAGTTGCAAGGTTAGAAGAGAGAAGACAAGCACATAAACCTAAAGTTAAATATGTTCAAACACTCCCTCCAGCCAGAAACGCATGGGACAAGAACCGAAACCCCACAAGCAGAGAGCTCCGAGACTTCCCACCCCTCCCAAATAATAATAAAGATAATCCTAACCCCCAAATCAGAAGAAATAATGAAGATTACAACCCACAACCAGGAAGAATGGAAGATTTCCTCGCCCTTAACAACGAATTCCAGGAACTTAATTCGATGGTAAATATAGCCGCCCTTACCCGAGCCGTCCGTTACCTCAATTCCTCCCTCCGTAAATGTACCTCTACCCCACAATATTTTATGACATTTAACAATTTCATGACCAACTTTGACTCCTACAACATACGCAACTAAGTCCGACAATAACAATAGAGACAAACTCAAAATTTGTTTTTTCAATGTGCACGGGCTGCTGAACAAGATCGGGCTTGTCAGCAATTTCATTCATAAGCATAATTTCGACATTATTATACTCACAGAGACCTTTTTAACACAGACAAAATAAAAATATTTAACTATTACAGAGAAGACAGAAACATACCTAACCTCAAAAATGCATCTGGGACCCCCCAGCTATCATTATTAAAATAAATACAATTTAAAGAAATCCCCAAAATTAATATCGCAGAAAGATTAAAAACATGCAATAATAGAGGTTAGAGATCTGCACAGGTTAATGTCGAAAGGTAACAGGGTTTTTCTTGCAGGGGATCTTAATGCCAAACATCAGGAATGGGACTTTCATTGTGCGTACTACAACGCAAGCGGTAGAGTTTTGAAAAACTTCGCCGAGGACAATGACCTTATTATACACTACACAGAAGAACCGACATACTTCCGGACAAACCCTAGATACAGTCCCAGTACACTGGATATTGCAGTCACTAAAAACATCCCTGATATAAGAAATATGAGAACGATAACCTCACTTAACTCTGATCACGATCCAGTGTACCTGGAGATTTGGACAACAAACAAAATACAAAGACAAAAGACACAATATTACGACTACAAATCGACAAACTGGACACAATACAGAGAAAAACTTAACACATACATAACAATTGCCACCCGAAATCACCGACTTATTAAATAACAAAAACAGACTAAGGAAAAGGTGGCAGACACACCGGTTAAACGATGATAGGGTTATAATGCAAAATCTCGCGAACACCATCAATGAGATGATAAGAACTCACAGAAACAAAAAATGGCAAACTACCCTATCAGAGTTGAAGCCGGAGGACAACTCCCTGTGGAAAGTAGTGAAGAGGTATAAAAAAACCTTATTCGCTGCTCCCCACATTGAGACGAGGACAAGAATCACTAGCGACAGACGAAGACAAAGGTCAAGCCCTAGGTGAATTCTTTCAATCTCAATTTGTCAATAATCAGCCGAACAACCCTCAACAACAACGCATTGAAAATATAGTAACCGCTTTTGGACAATTAGAACTACTTTTAGTGCCCCATTCTTGCCTTACCACTCCTAGAGAGGTATGCGAGGTAATTAAGTATCTCAAAAATAGAAAAGCTCCGGGACCGGACGATATTAGCAACATACTGCTTAAAAACCTCAGTAGAAAAGGTATCGTGCAGATTTACCACATAATAAATGCCATTTTCAGACTGCAACACTATCCCAGTAGTCTGGAAGTGGCAAATATTATCTCAATTCTGAAATCGGGAAAACCGAAAAATAATATTAATAGTTACCGCCCCATCTCACTACTTAACACACTAGCGAGAATAACGGACACTATACTATTACGACGACTTAAGACATTGGAACAAAGTTTACAAATTATCCCAAGGGAACAATACGGTTTCAGAGATTGGCACAGCACCGTGGCCCAGGTTCTGAGAATCGTTCACCATGTCAAAGAGGCATTTAATCAGGACCTGCAAACGGTGCTGGTGGCGCTTGGATCAGAAAAAGCCTTTGATATCGTTTGGACCCAAGGGTTAATATACAAAATTCTTCTGAATGACTTTCTTGGGCACATTGTCAAAATAATTTTATCATACTTAACGGATAGAAAATTCAACATTAAAATAAACTCGACAATAACTGGACCTTTCCTAGCAAGGGCGGTTGTACCACAGGGCTCAGTACTATCGCCACATTTGTACACCATTATGACTTATGATTTACCAATGGGACATAATGGGGTACAAACGGCGCAGTACGCCGACGATATATGTGTCTTCACAAGTCACAAATCGGCCCAAACAGCGAGTAGCAGGCTGGATAATCATATCAACGGAACAATAATGAATTATCTAGCAGAAAATAAAATGAAAATCAACTCAACCAATATTGAAATATCTTGATTTTCTGCTGGATAAGATATTATTGTTTAAGGCACACATTAAAGACAGGGTAGGTAAAATTCGGGTATTCTGAGATATATGTACCCTTTAATGAATAGACGAAGCAAACTATCCTTGTCGAACAAAATTCTACTTTATAAAACCATATTTAGGCCTATACTGAAGTATGGTTGTCCAGTATACTGCTCAATGCCAAATTCTTATTTCTCACCATTACAAACGGCACAAAACAGATGTCTGAGGCTAGCTCTTGGCTATGATCGCTATGCTAGAATACGAGACAACAAATTCGCCCATGATTAAGGATTTTATTATACAAACATCCGACAACTTCTTCGCGCGATGCCTCCCTGATGAACTGAGGGAAAGCATTACTCACATTCACCAGGGGGACGGTGTGCGTAGGAAGCACGGATGCATTCACAAAAATCTAACCATATATAGACGACAATAACATGACCCATGACAATCTTAACAGTACTAAACATAGAAAAATAAAAAGAGAAGGTTTGATTAAATGGCGGGATTTGTTTCCTTGTTGGTAGTTGAACCGTAAGCGCTTAGCGCGCTGCTATCACTAAATTCAAACCCGTTTACACCCATAAAAAAATATGTTTTCAAAAATAATGACAAAGAAATCAATAAGTTTACTGATTTACCCCTTTAAATTTCACTTTGCTATAATGGGTGGTATGATTGAACGTTTACGTTATCCGTAACGTACATGTTAGGCCGAGTTTTAACAGCAAAGAGACAAATTCGTATGATGTAAAGTCTTTCATAACACATTACTGTTATTTTCCGCCTGTTATGTTCTAATTTAACAGGTTTCCATCATACGAACTTGCCTCGTTACTTTTAAAATTCGGCCTAACATGTACGTTACGGATAACGTAAACGTTCAATCATAGGACCCATTGTGTGATCAAATACAGGGATAATCGTTAATAAATTTAAAGTTAAAGCTAAATTTAAATATTATTAGGTGGTGTAAATCTGGCTTTGAAAATAAATTAGGTTATGTTGCTATAAATAATAATAAATATGTCAGCCTGATATTATTTTCATTTTCAAATCAGGTGATATTTTTTTCAAATGTAGGTGAGTAAATTGTATTAATTAAGTGTAAGTAAGATTTAACTAATTTAACTATAGGCAGGTTCTTAAGAAAATCGTTAACTTCTGATTCATTTAAATTTTAATTGTAGAAGTACCTAAGTATTTTTCTCACAAAACTAACAAGAAAGTTTGTTTTTCCTGCTATTATTACTCTAGAGATAAATGGATCCACATTTTAAACATTTGCGGTCAAAAAAATGAAAGGAGTTGTGAGCGAAATGTGTGAAGCCAATTTACAAACAAATATTGTAGAACCCGAGATAGAACCTGATCTTAGTTTTACTCATAAAGACCATGATGAAAAAAGGCGAATGATTTGTGCTCAAAAAGTTATTGTTCAATTTTTGCGTGATATTCATTATTATATTTATCAAATAATACCCAAATATGTTCAAAAACTTATATGCTATTTAGGTCAACTTGTTAATTTTTGCATAGTTCACCTATTAAGATCATAAATCAGATGTTTTCTATTATTATTGAAATTTTAATACCTTTTATTGCAAGAAAAATGTAAGAATTTAAAAAGGTTATGACTCGTGTTTATTTTTAATTTTAAGATACACACTGCACCTTTATTTTTGTTTTGTTTTAGATATTCCCGGGTATGGAGATTTTTGGAATGTGCATAAATGTGTTTCTTAATTAGGGTGAGTTTCAAAGCCCACCTGTATTGAAGCTGGAGGCTTATTGTAACTGAAATAGGCATTACAACTATTCTAGATTGAAATAGATGGAAAATGCCTTAAAGGGACAATAAGTATAAGAATATTAGAATTAGAATGATTTGTCCTTGGATTAATAAGGGAAATTTAAAACATTAAAACAATTGTGTTTATAAATTAACTACTTTGACTTTTTATAAAAACTATATCCGGTTTTTTTAATAATAAAAACATTGTCATGTGCTATGCTGGTTATCATATTATATTTTTATTTTTCAGTAATTTAGTGTGTGATATAGTGCTTGTTATGTTCAAAATATGCAGTTAGAAGATAATGAGACACATGTAATTACATGGTAATTCTAAATAAATTAAACTTGTTAAAAATGTGTTTTATTTTTCAAATAATTTTATTTTTCAGTTAAAACAAGTGACATTTTCCATTTTTCAACATTTACCTACAACAAAAATTCACTAAACTTATTGTTTGTTTAGTAGTTGTAAGTAAAAGTTGTCAAATAGGAAAATGTTACTTTAAATTGCTTCAAATATCTAAATTATCAAGCCCGCCAATTTTTAAATCGCTTTAATTAATAGTGTTCTACTTTATCGACTGAAACTGACAGGTGTAGTTCAACCGTAAGCGCTTAGCGCGCTACTGTCGAGGTCAAGCAAACTTGTTACCAACTATTTACATGGAATCCGACCCCCGTGGTACTAAACAATAATTCACACGGACTGGATATTTACGAAATCTAGTCCGACGGAGGACTGAGCGATAAATCGACCGATAGAACATGGAGGAAGGATAATCCCTCACAATTACAAACAAATACTAAATAAGCCAAATCAATTTGACCACTAGTCTCGAATAGCGGTCGGACGGAAGACTGCACGGTGACGTCATCGGCCTGTGTTGGAATCGAGGCTTGCCTGGATCTCAATGCAGGACGGTGTTATTGCCGTGTAGACTTCATGATTTGGCGGGACTAACGGGAAACTAAGACATGACGCACATACATACAAAGACAACCCTGTTTTTTGCAACTGGTTTTTCAGGGAAGACAATCACATAAGTAAAATCCGACAAAACTATAGACATTATCCACTATCGATCTAACAAGCTCACTAAAATCGCCACATTATGCTTCTCAAGCAAGGAGGTGGTGGACTAACAACATAATTCAAATTTAACGGGTATGGTAATATGGCTATGAGATCGGCTATGGCCTATTTTAGGTCAATATTGGACAGAGCTTCATGCGGAAGATGCAAGAAGCAATCCTATATTATGTATTACGATACTTTGTTAAAATAAATTGTAAATATTGTAAATAGTTAATAAAAAGATTTTGAAATGAAAATGAGGAAGGATAATTAAGAGTTGCCGTTTCTTTGAAGAAATATGGCAACAGGTTTGCTTGCAGCGGCACCGGTAAGGGATTTGTCCAACTATTTCTCAGTCGGTAATATAGATACCTGCATATTTTATTTTATTTAAAAATTAGCGGGATTTTGTTTGTAGCTCTACTTTAATTAGTATAACTTAAAATTTTGCATTTTTATTGGCATTTTTTACAACACAGACAAGGTGCAAGATGTAACAAAATGCCAATCAAAATGTAAAATTTTATGACCCACAATTTTAGGAAGGGTAAAATAATTTAATATAAAATAATTGTATTATCTCTTATATCATTAAAACTAATTTTTAATAAATTTTCTAAATAAACAATATTTTAATAAAACAACTTAAACTTTCTGTAAACACATTAAGGAGAACCATCCATATAATCTGAAACAGAAAAAATTCAAAGTAGTATTTTTAACTTCATATCATTTTGAATCTCTTTTTTCTTTTAGACATTGTCACAGTTTTATACTTTCATTATAATATTTTATAATTAATAATGGTAGTCCCTTCATCTTTTAATTAGATGTAGTACTTTTAAAAAAACAGATGTCTGCGGGATCAAGCTTTGAGGTCCTTCTTTGATTCGCAAATTTTACTTTGTTGTTTTCTAATTATAAAATAGAGTTTTTTTCTCCCTTGGAGCTAACCATTTACTGGATTGATTTAAAAATCCAAGAGCTAATTATTGTTTTTTAGGTAATAATTATATTTCATTGGATGAAATTTTAATCGAATGTAACTTTATTTTCACTGGTAATTTGTTTGACGGTATGATAACAATATTACTTTAGTATTACTCTTTACTGTTAATTTAGCTTTCAAGGGTACCAAAGGTAAAGCCAATTTACAGTCTTGTAACCTATAAATGGTTTTTCGCAAGTGGAATGATGAAGTTTATGCGGCATCATTTAGTTCCTTGCTTAATATCGGAAGGAAATAAAAAAAATGTGTTCTTAAAATGTACAGCATAAATTGGACAGTAAATTGTACTATTTACCTTTATACAAACAACGCTATTACAATTAGATATTATGAATTTATTACGAACAGGACCTGCTAAACACATGTTAAAACATCAAAATATCTTTGCTTAATTTTAAATTTAACATGTTTAACTAAAATTAAAATTAAATAAAAGTAAAAGTACTTACCACGTTTTATTCAGCAACCATAACCATAGTGTTTTGTTTAGTTTTGTTATTGTATCGGTTCGAACGGGCGACAATCCCAAAGTCAGATTTACATTGTACAAATAATTGATTAATTCATGTTTTTCAAATAATTGTAGTATTTATATAAATATATAATTTTAAAACAATACTTACCGTGTATTACTTTTGTTATTAAGCGAAATATATTTGAATTATTCAATTATTCAGTGTACTTTAAATTTAAATATCATTTTATTATTGTAAAACGGACTGATATGCGCGGATGTGTTGCGCACTAACCTGTTGATATAACGCGCATATGTTATAAGCCCCCTGCGATAGAACCACGGCCGATAGCAAATTTTTCGACCGTGGCACTCCCAGGCGGTTTATAGCCCACCCTCTCAGTGAATTATGACAAAAAACCATAGACTAACACATGACCAACTACCACAAACGACAACCCTGTTTTTTCTAGCTTTTTCAGGGGACAATATGAAACTAAGACACGACAAACCTACAAACACCTACAATTCCTGACCATAATCTTCCCAAATCTCTTAATTATACCCCTAGGGTAAGGAGTAAGGACGGCTATATTTAGCACCATCAAGAAAATATACGACATATAAAAGGCGGAGAAATCGCCTTAGTCTCTAAAGGTTTACTTGTAGGGTCACAGACTGTACTGTGTACAGAATGGTTTTATTTATATGTATGATGTATTGTTATTGAATTTTAAACAGTGAATAAAGAATTTAAAAGCAAGCAAGCAAGCTCGACCGAAGCACTTCCGGGTGGTTTATACCCCACCCTCTCAGTGAATTA